TTAACTACTTCGATGTTTTATTATAATATTCTTTAGGATCAAGGACGCCAAAAGATCTGCGATGAGTTCAATACGATGCTTAATAGGAAGTTTGTTTTTAAAGTTCAGATTTCAAAGTTTAATCTTGAGAACAATTATCATGCCTGCACCGTTCATAAGATGAATGATGATGAACTTGTAGTTGGTGCAGTTTTCAAACATTCACCTGCATACGATGAAAACAATATTCATTCTGATGGTACTCCTATCAACAAGTCTATTAAGGCAAAATTAAATTCATATAATTTAGCATTTTAACGTTGTTAATAAACATTTATTCTTGACGCGGTGACAATATTAATGTTGTTAATTAACATTGTTTTATTAATTTGATACTAGAAAAGAGTGTTTCTGTTGAAGGTGACAATATCAATGTTGTTGATATTGATCCGGTGACACCGACAACTACTTCATTGAAATGCCCTATTGAGATTGTTACCACCACTGAATCATTTGAATGGTCTTCCTCAAAAGATGGTGTTGCTCCTCATACCCTTAAGATTCCAAAAATGGAAAAACTCGAACAAATTCAGCATTTATGATTATTTGACATTTATCATTGTCGATCTTTCTTTGAGTTTTTGTTATTTGCTTAAGGATTTTTTTTGACAAGTATGTTGTTTTCATTTTGAAGATTATGTTTGTTCTCATTTAATTATAACACGATAGTATTCGTGTTATTTGAGACAAATTCATAATTATGTTGAATTCTTTTTATGAATTTAACTTTTACATATTTTGATATATTTTCGCCTCAAATTATGTTACAAACTATATTGATCAAGTCTATTATTGTCAATTTGTTTGAAGTTTAAATGACAAACTATGTTGACAAAGTCTATTATTGTCAATTTGTTTTAAGTTTAAATGTAATCTTCTTAATCTTTGGCTTAAGCCACTAAGTTTGTTATTCCACAAACAAGATTTTATAACAATATTTTTTTTTATTTGTAACAAACTATGTTGACATACAATTCTATTAAAAAAACAAAAATAGCATACCTCCAATGACAAACAAATAATTGAATAAAGTACATGGCTTTTCCAAATGAAATGTACCTTTAATAAGAAAATGAAAATACAATGTTATCATTTGTACACTTTTCAAAGTAAAATGATTACAAAATAAACAATATGTAGTAAGGGTTGTTTGGTATTAAATGTAAAGTCATGGAGTCGATTTGGTAAATAATATATTTTGGGGTGTTTTAAAAATTATCCTTTTTTTTTTTCCAAACTAACCATCAACATTATCCTAATTTTAAATTTAAAAAAAATTCTAAAATGTTTTATATTATCTATCCTAACTACGTTTTGAAATTCAACATTTAAGGGATAAGATAAAAATGACTTTTATCTTATCCATCCAATACCAACTTGGATTCAATACATATATATACGATATATTCCGCAAAAACCCACTTTTTATTTTTTCTTCAACGCTCCTGCGAAAAGTGGGTTTTTATTGTGTTTTATCTATGTTTTTACCTCTTCGTTTATATTGATATTCACGATACTAAATCAACACTTATTCCTTTCCACAACCTTCTATAGCAGTAAACAATTGTTAGCTTGGTTAATCAAAGGTAAAAATGTACACATTTCATTGTTTATACTTATTTTTCCGCGATTTATAGTTTTTAATTAGATTTATTTTATTTACATTCAAAAGTGTAATTGTGTTCATCTAAATAGATTTGTGTCAACAAAACGCATATAAAAAACTAACAACAAACAAATATATAAAAGTTCATTATAAACCAAAAATACAAAAGTAATGCAAGTCCACATACTTAAACAAAGTCTATAATTCATACTTGAAAAAAAATTGTAAACTATCTATATTTGTTAACCAACTTTAATTCGTTATTTTCTTCACCAATATCTTTTAATTTCATTCTTTGTATAATCATTTGTTATGGTATGTTATGATATCTATTTATGCATTTACTCTTCTCTCCAACTTTATATACTCCATCTTACATTTACAATATACAACATATATGAATAGCAACAATGAAAGAACCAAATCAAAAACATCGCCATGCCCACCATTATCGAACATCACAAACGGTAAACTTTTAATTTAATATTATCATTAGATATTCAATACATATAATTTATTGATTTTCTTTTTATGTGATATAGATTCTCGTTAAATTTCATATTTAATGTCTAATATATTTTCATTTTCATCCAACTTTATCATACTTATTATTTTTTTGAAGAAAATAATTTCTATATCCCCACTAATTGTCGAATTATTCAAAAATGCCCGAAATTATATTCAAACTCATCATCCCATAACGTCTTACAACCGAATTTGCAACCTACAACAATCTCATCAAGGTCAACACTTTCATAAATAACCAATCATGGTAAATTATTAATAATTACTTTTATATTATTCTCTCACTACCAGTCAAAACCATATAAAGACTATTAATTTTTCCAAATTTAATAACTGTTATGATACTAATAAACCGTTATAAACGGTTCGTATACGTGGCCAACTTCAAATGTCCAAACAAACAAAAATGCAACAACTTTCAAGGATGTAAGGACGCATCACAACTCTCGTAATAGTTATCCTATTGTTATATTACTATTTATTATATTTTTTGTATTTAATTAATTATAAATTTAACTTCAATATATGTACTTTCATATTACATATACATATTCATATTTTCATTGTCTTTTGCAATTATTTTTTTTTCCTGAAAATTGTATCTTCATAACGCATGTTTTTCAAGTTACTCCATCACCTTCAACATCATCCTTTCATAACCGTATACGGCAAAATGTACATCATTCATTAATTACCTCAATGTCGCCACTGTCACATATCACCGGTCAGGGTAAGTATTTCATAATTATTTTTTATCATGTTTACCTAAGAAATTTAGATAATATAAAAACTTTAATACATTCAATATTTACTAACATAAAAAACTACCAATGAACAGTTGTAAACAGTTCAAGTACGTTGCTAATTTCAAATCACCAAACAATTCAAAATGCAAACAACTTTCATCGCAGGCAAGACCTATCTGAACTATGGTCATATACTTCAAATTATGTCATTATTAATTAATACATAATATTTTTTATTTTATTATATAATTACAATCGCGATATTTCACTTTATTTCTTTTTTTCACGTTTAAAAGTTACTTCACAATTATTACCAAGACAAACATTGATCTTATCTAATCATTATTTTTTCAAAAAAAATATGCTACATTTCAAGAAAATAACACAACAAAAACGACAAGAGAGAAACGAAAACAGTTCTCAACCTTCCTGCAGTTATACTGATATATTTCAAGAAACTAACACAACAAAAATCAATATAAAGGATATTGATTTTTTTTTATTTGAATGGAGATTTTGTGGAGAACTCAGGCAATACTACTATTCGTTCTCAACCTTCCTGCAGTTATACTGATACAGTTGCTTATCAAGGTATGTTATCATCTATTTTTTAATACGTCCACTTATACATTTTGGCACTTTAATAAATATTCATCGTCTTATTAATAATTTAAATTATGTTTATTTTGCAGTACCAAGAAAAACAAACAAACATCTGTGCCTTATAATTCAGTTGATCAAAATGATATAAGGATTGACACCCAGACTAAATGTATTGAAATAAGCAAATGTACTGTTTATTTCTATTTAAAATATAAAATTTTGGTTATCCAATGAAAATTATCATTTCAATATGTTATCACCATTTTCATATTACGCTTATAGTATATATTATCTGATTAGTTTTTTTGTTTCTTTATAGATTATTTGGATTCTGGTGATGCGGTATACATTTGTTTTGTATATAAAGCTAGGGTTTGGAAGAGAGAAGCAATAAGATGAAATAAAGATTTAAGGAAAACCTCTTATTACATATGTTGTTACAATGGAAAAGTAGAATTACCAAAATTGATTTAGCCACCTCAGCTATTGCTTGATTTATATAGCAGAGTTATTGAAAAAAGTCAGAACTTTATCAAAAATATCCGTAGATACAATATGATGTTTGCGTTTACATCTATGGCAGATAAAACTGATCATGTCATTAACTCTGGATGTAGTCCTTATGTTTATCGAATTCATGGACAAAATTATCATATTGTAGGCAGCTTACTACCCAAGGAAGGCGAATTACCGAAACTTTGCCAATTGTATAAATACGATACAAATCACGAGGTTGACAACAGATTTAATGCATACAAATATGTAAATACATTCTATCATATAATAGCAGTAAATACACACACACATATATATATATATATATATATATATATATATATATGTTTAAAATTTTTATTATGTCTCATAATATTTATATCCATGATTTTGTTTTCCTATTAATGTAGTTCAAAAAAGAAAAAGTCAACATCTCATAATTCAGTGGGATATCCTTTTTCACTGGAGTTCTTAACTGTTCATGAGCTAATGGGTTTATTGGATTTTATAAATCCATTAGTTAAGCAATTTAGAATAGCACGTGATCGATTTGGATCGAATCTAACAGAGCGTATTAGACTTAAATTAATTGGGACAAGAGAAAATGACGGTAGACAGTATAATCTACCTACCATAAGTGAGGTTATTGCACTTATTGTAGGTGACATTGTTGGTTCCGATTCACGAGATATTGTTTTTGAAACTCAAAGTCGTCAACTTCAACGCATTAATGAGTTGCATCCGCAATATCTTTCACTTCAATATCCTTTATTATTCCCTTATGTCGAAGATGGATTTCGATTGGATATATTACATCGTGGTGTTGAAGAACCAAACTCCAAAGGACGAATAACACTGACAATGCGAGAGTTTTTTGCTTATCGTATACAATAGAGAACTAATGAAATATCTTTGATATCATGTTCCTGAAAACTCTTCCAACAATTTTTGGTTGATTCGTATATAATAGTTGAAAATGACCGGCTAAATTATATTCGGTTTAACCAACCAACATTACGTGTCGCTCCTTATGGAGGCTTGGCCGAGACTGCTCAAGAAGGAACTGAAGATGCTTTTACGATGGGAAACTGTATTATTATTCCATCTTCTTTTACAGGTAGCAGCCGTTACATGCAGTAGAATTACTTCAATGCAATGACTTTGGTTAAGTGGTTTGGTTATCATGATCTTTTTTTAACCGTTACATGTAATCTTAAATGGCCAGAGGTAATTAGATTCGTTGAATATGAAAATCTTAAACCCGAAGATAGGCCTGATATTTTGACAAGAATATTCAAAATAAAACTTGATTCACTAATCACTAGACTCAGGGAAGAAATTTTTTTGGGTGAAGGCGATGGAGGTATAAATCTAAAATCACATTATTCATTTTATTTTATTTTGATTTTATAATATCAGTCGTTAACCATGGTACATATTTGCATCATACAGTTATATATACGATCGAGTTTTAAAAAAGGGGTCTTCCACATTGTCATATATGCCTATTTTTAGAAAAAAAAGTCTAAACTTCCAAATCCCGAAGACATAGATCGCGTTATATGTG